GTGCTTGTGATATGTTGTAAAATGTTGTATGTCTGTTAATGTTTCCCTCCTTTTATCCTTAAAATAAAAAAAAAAAACAAAAACAAAAACAGTGGAGCTGTTCCTGCCACCGTGCTGTGCAGAATATCTCAGGGTGACGGGGGAGCCAGCCAGGGCTAAGAGCTGGGGAGTCACTGGAGCTTTTTGCATGTGTATGGGAAGAGACAGTGTGAGAAGCAGGGTAGCTTTCTCACCTTTGTTGTGTTGGCTAAGGGTCTTCAGGAGCTGTGCAGAAAGAGGCTGGGACCAGGAGACCTGCAAATGCCTGCAGCATAGATTTGGCAGCAGGCACGGCATTTAGTTAGACGAGGCACAGGCCACCACCAGCTAGAGAGGCAGGGGACAAGAGGTTCTAGGAAAACCAACCCCAGCACAAGGTCAGGACACAACACAGAGAGTGGTGACAACAGAAAGCAGGAGAGAGGGGGTGGGATGGGAGGAGGCAGCCTGAGTTTAGGATCAGATACATATGGGATTGAATTCTGACATCAGGTTATTTTTTTCCTGGAAAACCCAGGTAATCCTCTTAATCTCACTCACCAAATATATGCAACCACACTTACCACTGGAAGCAAGTGAAATATTGATATGCACAAACATTTCATTCATTTATTCATTCATTCATTTGACAAGTTTATAATAATCAATGATAACTATGCTCTGCACCAGTACTGTTCAGAAAATTTTATCCCGGCGCGATCACAAAATACAGTGAATGTTTAGATTTTTAAATTATTAAGGCAAAAGAAATGGTGCTGTAATTCCTCTCCAAAAACCCCCCATTCCTGCCACTTTCTGAAGGAGTTTTGGAAGGGCTCTTTTAAGAGCATCTTTGGTTGTGCTGTTATAGCTGTCTTGATGTCCTGAACTGATTCAAAATGTTTACTTTTCATGGTCATCTTGACTTGGGGGACAGTCAGAAGTCATACAGTGCCAGATCCAATGAACAAGATGGACGAGGTAACATTGTTACATTTTTATTCCTTGTAAACACACTCACATGAGAAAGAGGACTTCCAGAACTGCTTCAGAAAGTGGCAAAATGATGCGATGAGTGTGTTTCAAACTGGGGAGTGCTTTGAGAAGAATTAATGACAATGTGTATTTTACTATAATAAAAGGTTTTTAATTTAAACACACACTATATTTTTGATCAGTCCTTGTATGTGGTAACTCTGTTAATCTTTAGGCCAGTGATGGGAAACATTTTAGAGCTTTCAACAATACAAACAGCCTACTGCAGCATGTGTGCCATAGGTTCACTACCATTGCTATAAGCCCATCTTATGAAGTGAGAGTTACAATAATTATCATCATGTCAAAAATGCTACACAGAGAGTTAGTGAATGGCAGAGCTGCAGTATGAGTCCAGGACAGCTAGCCAGCAGGAACCAGCTCTAGTTGGTTGGAGCTCTAGCTCTGGTTACCAGAGACCCTACAGTGAAGAAGAAAGTAAGACCTTTGATACACTGGGGGAGAGAAACTGCAAACAAAGAGAATAATCTCAGATAGTGGTGAGAATCATGAAGAAAATAGGATGATTTTAGTGAAATGAGGGGCTAACAGATAGTGTGGTCAGAACCAGATTGTCTATAAAAATAGAATTTGAGTTGAAATTCAAAAACCTGGGAGGTGCCAGCCAGAAAATGATACATGAGAAAAACATTCCAAACAGCAGGAACTCAGGTCCTGGGGTAGAAATGAACAAGAAAATATCAGGAAACATAAAGAAGCTGTGCTCTAGTGACCAAGCTATGCTGGGGTTAAGTTATAAAATAGGCAAGAAAATAGTGAACAGATCGAGGATAACAGGAATTGAAAGCTGGACGTTTGGGGATTTAGAGGAAATACACACTGAAAAAAGTGTAAAGGAAAATAGTGATCTAATTTTTCTTTTTAAGGATCTTGCTATCAGATGCGTCAAGAATAGGTGAAGTTCCTGCTTGGCAGAGATGGAGCTCTCAGTGAATGTAAGTTCCCTCCTCAAAGTGGGAGGTGCCGGGGAAGGAGCAGAAAGCTCATATGCAGTGGAGCCAGTGCACTGCTCAAAATTTCTTCTCTTCCAAGAATTGTAGGCGCTACAGGCTCCTCTGGGATTTCTAGCAGTTCTGTTTAACCTTCAGCTGTGGACAGGACACCTCTAAGAGACAAGAGGTGTGTTCTTCTGTCCAGACTTTCTACTCCCTGCAGCAGATTTTCCCATCCCGGCTTGGTGTGGTGCTTCTCTTACGAAGTTAACAAGCCTTTGCAGGGCCATATTTGCCAAACTTCTAAGTGACCACACCATTTGGCAAACATTTCCCTCAGGATGGCTGCTGAGATATTAATTTCTAATTCTGCTATCTGTCTGTTCTTTCCATTGCACTCTGGATTATGAAGACTGAGTCACCACTTTGGTTGCCAGAAACAATGATGATGCAGCTACATTTCTTGTCTCTAAAGAGAGGCATTGAGTTGAACAGGTGTCAAAATCAAATAAAAAATACATAGACTCTCTTCTTCCAGTGAAAGCCTCATTCTGAATAAACAAAAATCAGAATTGTAATCCAGGACACACACACACACTCACACCCCAGAGAGAGAGACCAGAGAGACCTTTGTTATGTTCAAAGAACAAATATGGTTGAGGTTTTATAGTAAAAGAGAAACATTACATAAGTTGTTTTGAAAGGAAGTTCATTGGCACTTGTGGAGTTACATAAGCGCTGGCACTCTGACTGGCAAGTTGTGGTGGTTCGGAGGTACAAGTTGTCTTCAAATCCTAGCAGGTTGTCTCCTTGGATTGAACTTGCAAGACAGTTGCCAGAGCACACGTTTGTGCCCTCATCTGAGTGTTTCTCCCTATCGTCCTATAACTCTGTTTTAGTAGAACATGACAAGACTGGGTTCATTTCTACAGTCAGTCTTCCTCTAGGAATCAGTGCACCCCAACAGAGGTACAGTGATGTCAGCTATGATCACCCCAGATATATTGGACATTCCAGCTCATGTACAGATTCCTTAGCTTTCTTTTTTTTTCTTATTTTTGAGGAGTAGCCCACAGGTCCAGAACTAGATCTGGTAAAGTTCAGAACTTCATTACACACTCGTTAACCTGCACTCAGATTTTGGTCCCTCCAGCAAGCGTTGCTTAAAATTATTGTGGACCTGGCCAAGATCCCTAACTGCCTGTATAAGGGATATGGCAAAAGGATGACATACAAAGCAGAGACAACTTTAGTAATGTACTTAAGCATTTTTCCCACCTCAGCCGCTCCCGTAGCTGGGACTGCAGGCGTGTGCCACCACACATGGCTCAGCTGAGGGAAGGAGGGAAGGGGAAGCCGTGTGGCCACCTTGAGCACATTGCTCCAGCTCTTAAAAATTCTGGAGGTGCAGTCCAGGAAAGAGTCCCTTCACGAATCTCATTGGCTTGTTGTGCTATATCTGCAAAGGTCCCCATACCCAAAAGGGTTTTACTGTTATACTGGCTCCATTTCTCCATCTACTTCCATCAGCCTGATTCATTTCAACCTCTTAGAGCTGAACACCAAAATGCAGACACTGGCTAGGTGACAAGCAAGATCCAACCAGCTGTCTCACATCACGGGGAGTTAGACGACATCCTTTTACCACTGAATCTAAAATTCCTGGGGTAAGTGGTCCCTGAGCTCCATTATTTGAGACACTTTGTTTTAATTTTTTAAGAAATTTAAAATCAAGCACCTGATGTTCAGGGACGAGTAGATTTTGATTATCAGGATCATTTTTAACCACCATTGGGAAACAAGAAGGTCCAAGAACGTCTCCTTACATAGCCACCTTTTAACACCTTTTAACAGGTGGTCTTTAGGCATACAAGGTTCAGAATGTTTTATCTTTCTGGAGTCACATGCTGAAAGAGTTTCTTTAAAATTCTCACCCGGCTCTGGGTCTTCCCCAGCAGCCAGCACAGCGGGCGGCATTTCTTTTTCTTGATATTTTTCTTCCTTGTCCTGTTCTAAAACAGAAACTTCGGGGGTGCTAGTACTTAATAGACCTAAAACAGATTTTACAAGGTCCAAGCTGAGAAGGTCTCAGGAGAAACAGTTCCTTCTCTGCCATGAGCTCTGTAAATTTGCCCCACCTTATGCCAACTTTGTATAACAAAGGAGCCCTCCTGCAGAAACCAGGGGTTATAGTTAACAATTTCTTGTAACATTTTCATCAGCTCACAGGTGCTGACTCAAGCTCCTGCAACATCATTCACAAGAACTGTACATATCTCAGTTCTTGTACAGACAAATTCTGCCCTACTATCCCAGCTAACTGGAAACTGTCTGCAGCGCCCCGTGCTTTACCTTCCACTTTCCCTCGGGCATCCCTGAATTTGTCCTGAGGAGTCTTCGCCCCATCCAGAGTCCTCTTCTTTCCACTCAGGTTGATCTTCCCTCTCAGGCCTAATCAGGAGGTCCCTTTTCTGGCCCCAAACATCATGGATCTGGCCATGATCCCCACTACCTGACGAGGGGTATGGTGAAGGGACGAAATAAGAAACAGAGACAAATTTAGTAATGCACGACGGGAAGGCTGGGAGGTCAGTGCCTCAGGATGGCCAGAGACAAAGACACTCTGAGCCAGCCGCTATTTACCTGGCATACACAATAGTCAGAGGGATTACTGAATGACTCAGAGTGTGGCGGTGACCTTACGCTAATGAGGGTCCTTACATTGATGTGGATGGTGAAGAGAGGTGGCAGGTTAAGAAGGCATCTGTCCTTTCCCAGGATGAAACCCTCTCTTCATTACTACTGGGTTCTCAAGGAACCAGAATGTCTTCAGCTGATGCAGTCTTGTCCTGGGCCATCCCAGCATCAAGGGACCATTGAGGTCTCAACTGTGACAGGAGGCACAGGGAATTATGTTCCCTCACACCATAACTGGCCCCATGGCAAAGCTTTAGGCTCTGGACAAGCCCTAATCACAACTTAACTATAAAATGACTTTTTCCCCAACAATTACGCAGAATGGTCCTCAACGTAAAATGCCTTTGGGTCACTCAGTTCCTTTATGTGGCCATGGTTTGATGTCCATGATTGGCTACAGTCTTGACTGGGGAGAGAGACCAAAAGTGGCTACAGCTGACACTCCAGACTTGGTCACAGACTTCAAAGTGAAGCAGAAAATGAGTATAGGGCTTATGGTAAACAGGGTGAAATAAAACCTGGTGTAAAACCTTCTCAGTGCTGTATAGTATAAAAACCATTGTATAAAATAATTTCAATCCAGTAAACACAATCTGAGGTCAAAGCAAGACAGGATGATCTTTTGGGTGATCTGGAGACAATGACAGACCTCCCATGTGAGCGAAGAGCAGATCTGACTCTCAGGGTCTGAAATTTTAATGCTTTCAGAAAAAAGCTCTAGCAGAGACTGTGACCTCTAAGGAGTGCAAGGAGGAGGAGTGCAGATTCCTGAAGAAATTGAGAGCTCAGGAAAATATGCTTACTCTGTAAACACAGAGAAGAAACTACCCTGCAACTCCAGGACAGGGCACAAAAGCAAATGTCTACTAATAGAATGTCTAGGTCCCTGATAGAAAATAGTTACTCTTAAAATATTAAGACCCTGAACTTGCATGAGATATACCTGGTGGGGCTGAGTTCTAACTCCTCACACAGGGTAGAAACTCAAGCCATAAAATTGCTAGGAAAGCTAGCCGTTAGTTAAGGAATCTCTAGCTGTGGGAATCTACTAACCAGAAGGTAGGGATTGTCTCAAACCTAATTAGGTACACACCTAGTAGATGGCAACCCCTGCTGCATGTGAACTCACAGGCAAAAAGCCACAAAAATAAATTATATTTAAAATCATGCAAAGACTGAATGAATATGCTTCCAAAGAGACACTTGCTGTGAGAACCTCTAAGGGCTGTAACCCAGCAAGGAGCAAATTGAATGCGGATGGAAGGAGGAGGACTCCAGCAGCAAGAGGGAGCAAAGATAGAACAATCCAGGCAGGAGAAAAAGAGCAAAGTAAACACGGTCCTTTTCTGGCCAGATATTTGCAAGTGAGCAAGTGAGCATTGGTCTACCTCGGGATGCTCTCACCTGGGCAGGGGAAGGAGCACAGTGGAAGCAGAAAGGAGCTATTTCCCCCGGTTTCTTCTCTCCCCTCAGACGGCTGGCTGCCCTCTTGTCTTGGGAGCTAGAGGCTGATCCTGGTTTCCCTGGTTACAAATCTGTTTACTGACAACATCAAAGGTTAAGTGTGTTTGTACCAGAGTAAGTGTACAGAAGAGGAACACCAGCTTTCTTAATCAACACAGCATTCCCAAGCATGCTCAGACCCACCCATTTGCTCCACCAAATGGACCCAAATCTATCACTGTGTTTGGTGCATTAGGAAGCTTAGGGAAGGCGAAGCCTTTTTTTTTTGCCCCCCCTGTCCACCTGATGACCTCAGCACTGCCTTCTAGTAACATGCAAGAGCTGGAGATGGTAATGGTAGAAAAATCACATGATGTCAGCACTAACCTATGCATTTGGGTGTGAACCTGTTGGCAAATTACAGCCTGTCATTCTCAGATGAGTGAGTTGCGATGGAAATGTCAATCTGAGCAGATGCTTTCCCCCCCTTTTTTCCTTTGTACTACAATTTACAGAAGTGACACAAATATAAAGCTTATGCCTAATGTATGAGTATTAAATTCAATAGTGAAACAGGGAAGATATAGAATAGGGATTGCAAAAGGATTTTTTGGCTTATTAAGCAATAACTATGAGCAGTGTAAGAGGAATCATAAGGACTGGAGACTTCAGCTCTCTCTTTGTAGGCAAGATACCAGGCGAAGGAAAAGGACCTGACTACAAACACAGGAGAATTGAGCAAATGCATGTCTTCAGGAAGCAAGAACAAGGTGTTTTCAGGGAGCACAGCCGAAGGCAATAATGTATCCAGGCTGCTAAAGATGCTCTTGGGATCTTCATAGCAGAAACAAGACTCAAACAGGAGCGGGAAACTCTTCGGTGGTGTGTCTGCGGAAAGGATTGTGGCACAATAAACTTCCTCTGCGTCCCTTTTGAGTCTTGTGATATTAAGACTTGAGGGAAAGCAATTTCTGTGCTTTAAGCTCCCCAAAGTGAAGAAACTAGATTATATTAATAGCTTCTAGCAAGCAAAGTATAAGACAGCAGCGATGTTTATTTTCTGAACATGCTCCTCTCCCTGTGATGAGCCCTAGGCATGTGGAGAAAAATATAAACACCAAAAGAAAACACAGCAAGTGAGCCGTAGGTTAAGGGTCTTTGATCTTTCCTGGTTCAGGTTTAGGAGGTGGAGACTCGGGCCAGAGGTCACGGAGAACCTTAAAACACAGCTCACACTTCATCACTATTTTCTCTCCAGAAGAGCACAAGGTTAGGTCAAGTTTACAGATGAGAATTATTAAAGGGATTTGGGGTGAGTTATAGCAGGCACCCAGATAAAGGGCAGAGGAGATTTCAAACCATTTTGACGTTTATTTCTCTCTCTTTTGTTCCCCTCTGGGCAGGGTTTCTACAGCTTCCAGACATCCCATCTTAGCTTTTCTTTTATATACTTTGACAGTTCAGAAATAATTTGAGCAAAAATCTTTCATCTTTCTTCTATTTGATGTGAGCATTGTGTAAGGCTTATATAAATAATAAAAATAATAGCTCACATTTACCGAACACTTACCGGGCACCAAGAATTAGAATATTCGATCCTCATGACAATCTTTGAGGTAAATACTAACATTTTCCCGTATTCACTGCTGCAAATCAGACTCATATTTAGTGAGCGGTGGAGTTGAGGTGGATCCCCAGTATACTGAGTCCAGAACAGAACTGTAGGTATAACCAGTCCTCTTAAAGCACTACTTCATCATTGGTACACTTGCTGCCAAGTTGATTGGGAGGATAATTACAGCTCTTTCTCACTAGGCTTAAAGAAAAACAGAGATGAAAGGATGATTAAATACTTCATGAAACCTCCAAGAAGAAATACAAATGAAAGTATAGCAAAGTTGCAATTCCAGGGTAGCTTGGCCCATTGTCTACCAGTGACATTTCCTGTTAGGAATAAGGCATAAATTACCTGGGCAGTCATGATGAGATGTAAAAGATATTAATGGACTTTGGCTTTTTACAGAATAGTTTTATATATCTAGGAAATTTGAGCAGATACTACAAAGAGTTCCATACACACACTTTACTGCAACTCCCCACCAGTTTCACAATTTTTACATCTTGCATTAATGTTGCATATTTATTACAATTACTATACATTAAACTAAAGTCCTTAGTTTACATTAAGGCTATTTCTTTGAGTTGCACAATTCTTTGGTTTTTAACAAATGCCAAATGACATATCTACATCATTATGGAATCATAAAGGATAGTTTCACCACTCAGAAACTCTGTGAGTCTAACCTGTTTACGCCATACTTATTACTTCCTTCTCCAAAATCTTGGCAACCAATCTTTTTACTGTAGCTATGGTTATGTCTTTTCCAAGATGTCATATAGTTAGAATAATATAGTGTGTAGACTTTTCAGACTGGAATCTTTCACTGAGCAAAATGTATTTAAAATTTTTCTTGTCTTACCATGAATTTGATAGCTCATCCCTTTTTTCTTTATTGGATAATAGTTAATTTTATGCCTTGATCACAGATTATTCATTTAACCATTGCAGACAGTCATGGTTACTTCTGGAGACTTTGGCTATTATAAATAAAGCTGCTCCAAACATTTACGTGTAGGCTTTTGTGCGTACATTAACTTTCAGTTATTTGGGGTAAATGCTTAAGAGTGTGATTTCTGTATCATATAGTAAAATCATATTTATCTTTGCAAAACCTGATAAGCAGTCCTCTAAAGTGGCTCTACAATCCACCATTCTCTCCCACAATGAACAATTGTTTCTGTTCTGCCTCCTTTGTAGTCACCAGTTTTTTTATTTTTCTTTTCATTTTTTTGAATTTTAGCAATTGCAATAGGTATGGAGTAAAATCTTGATACCATGTAACTGCAATGTCTTAATGACCAGATGTTGTGCATCCTTGCACATTTTTATTTCTCATTGATATGTCTTTATATAGATGTGTCTGTCAGGTCTTTTACTCATTTTTAATTGGTTATTTGTTTTCTTATTACTGGGTAATAAGGTATCTTTGAGCATTCTGAATAAAAGTTCCTCATCAGACATATGCTTTACAAACGTGTTTGTCTAGCCTGTGGCTTGTCTCTTTATTTTCTTAAGAGTATCTTCCTTAGAGCAAAGTTTTTAATTGTAATAAACTTAAGTTTTAAGTAAAGTTTGTTTGGTTGTTATATTTAGACACTCATCACAAGACCTGAGGTGACCTCACTTTCCTTCTGTGTTATCTTGCAGATAATTTGTAACTTTGCAACCTACATGTAAGGTCCACTTTCAGTTCATTTATGGGAAAGATTTTTCTTCCTCCTCCACCCCTTCCCCTTTTCCTTCCTCTCTTCTCTTCATGCTTCTTCTTCTTCCTCTTCTTCTCCTTCTCCTTCTGTTTCTTCCTTTTTGTCAACAAATGTCCAAACATTTCAGCACCATTTGTTGAAAAAACTACCTTTTTCCACTGAATTGTCTTTACACCATTGTCAAAGATTTGCTGCCAAGTTTGTATAAGTTTCTGGGTTCTCTATTTGTTCCATTAATAACTTGTCTATTCTTTTACTGATAGCCTTCTGCCATGATAATTGTAGCTTTACAACAAACCAAAAAATCAGATGATATCAGTCCTCTGGCCTGTTCGGCTTTAGTATTGTGTTATGCAAGTTCTTTTGCTTTTCAGTACAAACTGCAGAATCTGTTTATCATCATTTACAAAATATTTGGTGAGATTGTTATTATGATTATATTAAATCTATGGGTCTGTTCATGAAAATTTGATTTCTTAACAACACTGCATCTTCCTATTTATGAATATAGAATGGTTCTTCATTTATTCAATCTTCTTTGATATATTTAGCTAAATTTTTGTGATTTTTCTCATATAGGCCCTACACATCTTCTATTACATTCATGCCTACATGTTTACTTACTTTTGTGCTAATGCAAATGATATCTTGTTCTTAATTTCCAGTTCTAATTATCCATTGCTGATAGATAGAAGGTAATTGGCTTTGTATTTTAATCTTTTGTCTTGTGATCTTGTTATAATTATTTATTAGCTATAAATTATTCTGTGAATTCTTTGGGATTTTCTACATAGGCAATTGTATAATTTGTAAGCACAGTTTAATTTTTCCTGCCCATTTAACATCATTAGCTACAAGTTCTGCTATGGTGCCGAACAAATGTAGAGAGAAGTAACCTTGTTGCCTTCTTCCTGATCATAGAGGGAGGGCTTTGAGTTTCTCTCTACTAAGGATATGAGGGTCTTTTGTAAATTCAATTTTAATCAAGTTGAAGAACTTCAGAAGTTTCTCTCTGATCCTAGTTTTCTGAAAAAATTTTTTATGAATGGTTGTTGATTTTAGTAAAGTATTTTGATGCAATTGATATGATCATATAACATTTCTGTCATTATGATGAATTGCATTATGTGATTTTGACTTTGGTCCATGCTTGTAAGCCTAGAATAAATCCTACTTGGAGTTGGTGTATAATTACTTTTATACATTGTGTTGAATTCTGGAATTAAAAATGGCAGAGTAAAGGCCAGCAAAATACAACATCTCTGAGACCTGAAATCTAGACACCTGAAAAACAGCAACTTAGCCAAAAAGAAAAGAAGTAGAGCTCCAGGAATGAAGAAATAGACAAAAGGAAATCTAGGAACCACAGAAAAACTGGAAGTAATGCAGAGAAAAGAACAAAGCCGTCTGGTCTTGTAACCGAACTCCCAGAGAGGAGATTTTGTCTCTACAAACACAAGATAAACCCAGAAAGAATCCACAGCACCAGGGAGAAACAACAGACTGGCAGTGCTACCCCCTCAGAAAGTCACATGGCCCCAAATATGACTCCTTCTGCACACTATGTGACAGCTGGAAAAGAAATTCATTGCAGTGTCTGCCATACTTGAAAGTTATATAATCAGAAACCATTTTGAGAAGGAGTTTATTGTTTAAGACTGAGATACTCCAGGAATCATAATTCACAGAACGGTTATATCTCATGGTCTCTAGGATGATCCTACCACA